TCGTCGCGAGCTTGACAGCCTTGTCAAACGCAAAACAAGTACAAATTTGAGTTCAAACCGAAAGAAGTTCAATGTTAATACAACTAACATATATTCTATACAAATACGGATGGTTTAAAATGTTTTCAATTGAATTTTCAAAGCTTTTATCTATCGCTATGATAATCAAACTGTGAACTTGATGCCGTAGTTTTGTTGACGCTTGCGAATGCAAAATAACTTCCCGTAAACAGAGCATTTCTACACAAAACTCTCGCTTAGTCTTCTGATGCACTTGTACGTTCGGTTCTACTAGTTAAACAAGGAAAATATTCAAGAAACACTGGTAAATTATCGTTGTCAAAAAACATTTCAGTGCTGAGGCAGTACAAGGTCTGAAGGGCAAGGTCAAGTTGTCGATTTCATTACATTTTACAGTACTTCGAACGTTTTCGAACTCTTGCTTCATACAATAGCAGTAAACGCACGCATTTCAAAGCGAAATTAGACGCAAAGGGGCAATTTTTCAACAAAATTCATTGTTAAATTATGTTTCCTATGTGCCTTGGGAGCAAAAAAATATGATTTTAAATTTGGAGGAATCGGTAAATTTTTTTGCAATTTGGCCTGGTATTGCACCCTACCCATGTAATGACTGTGCTGTAAAAGTAATCAAATATACTATTTTGAATTTCCCTTCATTGAAAGGATCTACTATTGTGGACTAAACTAAATTTTAATCAGCATACAAGGCTGCAAACAACAGCCAAGAATTAGCTGGGTAGTTTGCAAACTTTAAAAATAATTGGACCTCAAACTTTGATCCCCAAAAGTAAACAAATGGCCAATACTGCGAACATAATCCAAGTTTTGACCACTAGGGGCAATTTTTAGATGTAAAAAAACTTGTTTAAATTACATATCAAACAAAGGCAAAACAAAATTTGGTATTAATTTTTTGGAGGAAACGTCAAGGTTTTTTGCTATCCGCGATTGCTTCTACACCCCCTCCCCCAGGACCTTCTCTATCAGAAAACAGTTTTCTGCAGAAACTATGCTTTTTTATCGGGAAAATTTTTACTTTTCTCAAAAAAATACTTTAGAAACACGGAAACCTTAAATATTTAAATAATTTTCATACCTTTTTGGGATTGCAAAAAGCAAAATTTGATTCATTATCACACTTTTTAAAATATATGTGACAAAGTTGCTTCGAAATCACTATCACGCAGTAGCATGTTTATTTACCCTCATCCTTTTGACTGAATAAAGTTTATCTTTTTGAAAAGCTATTTGTTTTATAGCTCTTGGTTAGCAGTTTACGTTTATGTCGATTTTGGCACCCATGAGACCAACAAGTTGTGGTAATCCGCGAATGAAAACTGATATTCGAAGAGCACAAAAGCCAACTCCTAGCTATGTAACTTTATCGCCTGAATTTTGAATCAATCCACAATTAAATTGCTGGTAATGTAGATGCTTTCCATACTTGAGATGTTAGTGAAGTTTTTCCAACAATTTAATTTCCTTGATCGCCGTCTTAAAAATGCAAAATCATCAGTTGAAATTTCACTCGTGTTGTTTTTTCAAATTTTCGAATTTTTGTAAAATATCGCGTGCGCCAGCAATTTCTCTGCACAGCGACAACAAATTTCCCAGCTGTTGAAATTATTGCTAATTTTCCGATAATCCAGGTTCCAAAGTTAAGCGCTATTTTCTTCGAAATGACAAATGTTTACGTGGAGAACTTTTTACCTGTTGTTTGTCACATAACAGACTTCGTATTTTTGTAAAAAAAATTTGGACCCTCGAAGTGGGAGCGAGATGAAACAATATCAGCCACAGCCTGCGGCCTATGGGAAGCGTGGAGGTAATCGTTGCTAGTTACCCTTGGCGGATATACTATATACAACGCGGCGGTCAGATGGAATAACAGCTGATACAATATTCAGTAGACATTTCTTTGAAAGATGTAACTTTTCATGTACCGACGCAAAAACTTAGTAAGCTAAGATAAAAAATTAGCAGTAGTAAGCGTATTGTAACAATTTTAAAACAGCAGTGAAAAAGGACCTCTCGCAAATATTAGGCGTATTATAACAATTTTAACCGTCTTTCTTGTCAACTGTACTGACCGAGATCCTTCGCTTGAACAGCAACGCTCTTTCATACTCTTGTTTCAGAAATATCGGGACCTAATCTAGGAGAATCTATTCGCTTTGCCAGTGCAGGTTTAATTATTAAAGAATCTCTAGTGCATCCAGTTTCAATAACTCATCAGCTTCGCTTTTCCTACTCAGATGTTTTCTCCAAAACAAACAAGACCTAGGGACATGTAAGTTAGGAACAAAACATCTCATACACCTAAACCCAGATACTGTGCCAGACAAACAATCATTACGCCGAATTCCATTCGCTTATCAGGAAGAGGTCAAAAATGATTGGAAAAATATGCTAAAGGACGGAATAAGGAGAAATCTGTTTCTGAATGGGCAAGCCCCTTAGTCCCAGTTAGGAAATCAACAGGATACCTGCGGATATGTGTAGACTATTGGAAGTTAAATGAGCAGGGGCGTAGGAACCGGGGGGAGGCCAGGGGGGGCAGGTCCCCCAAGTTTTGGCAAGTGCGCTTTTTCCAGAAGCAAAGTGCCCTTTTTGTGCGTGAAAAATTTTCATTAAATTTGCATTTTTTTGGCCAAACCAAACTTTTGAAAACCTCAATCTATGTTTTTTTTTTGCGGATAAATGTCTTAGTTTCCGAGAAAAATATCATATATTGGTATGTCCGGAAAAATGTTTTGTATTTAAGAAGAAATGTGGCCCCCCAACTTTTCGAAGCTTCCTACGCCCCTGTGAATGAGGCCACAATGTTAACAAGTTACCCATTATCTAACTTACTGCATGTAACTGAAACACTTGATCGTTTAGCTGAAGCATCTTACTTCACATCGACTGATATGGTATTCGGATATCATCAGGTTGAAGTGGCCGATGAAGATAAAGAGAAAACTACATTTACATCCTCAGATGGACTATTTCATGATCAGTATTGTAGGATGCCCTATGGGCTGGCAGGGGCACCGGCAACCTTTCAATCCGTTGTCGAAGTATTGGAGACTGAGGATATCATGGCCTACCTTGATGATGTTATTTGTTTTCACGTCAACTTTGACAAGTATTTGGAAGGAATTCAGAAATTACTCGCGATGGTAAGAAGAGCCGGTTTTAAACTATCTGGAAAGAAATGCCAATTTGCTAAACTTTCTGTAGGATTCCTGGGTCACATTATCGACAATATTGGTGTTAGACTGCTACCTGAGAAACTAGATATCATCAGGAATTGGAAGGCTACTGAGAGTCAGGATAAATTGCGGCGATTTCTTGGAGTGTGCACGTTTTGGAGGAGACTTGTGAAAGAGTTTTCCAAAATAGCCGTTCCACTTCACAAACTTTTAAATAAAGAGGAATTCTTATGGACGAATAAATGGCAGGATGCGTTTAACCTGTCGAAAAAATTGTTGTGTTCTTCGATGACATTGAAACTTCCACAGCGTGTAGGTCGGTTCTCTAACTGTGACATGTGATGCATCAGATATCGAGGTGGGTTACTATCTTGAACAGGCTGATAAATCTGGCCAAAAGCGCTCAGCTGCTTTTGGTGGAAGGAAACTACATAAACCAGAAATTAACTACTACACTACACTACACTACACTACACTACACTACACTACACTACACTACACTACACTACACTACACTACACTACACTACACTACACTACACTAC